CAGTAAAACAGTAAATTGTGCTTTACCTGGAAACCTAAAGCTGCACTAGGTATACATCACATATTAGCACAAAAAAACAAAAAAAAAACTAGATATTTTGAGCACTCAATTGAAAATGTACACATAACGTATCAATCGTACTTACAGGTTGTGGTTCAGAGATGCTTGTTGGTCCAAATAAAGAAGATTAGAAGCCAAAGAAGATAAAAGGCAAGATTAGAGAAGCAGTCCTCGGTAAAATGACGAGCACAACAAAAGGTTCAAATTGTATTGCTGTGGTATCGTGGAACACAGCACCTTCTCGACACAGAGAGTGTTAGTATTTCGTGGGCAGGCGGGGATTATGCTAATGTGTTACCCAGTGACGTAGATCAGTAACAGGCAGAAGATTAGAAAATATAACGACTCGTTAAGGCAATTCTGAGTCGACTCTTTCTTTTGAGAGACAATATCTTTATTTATCATGCACTTTTTTGATTAACAACTTTGCAGACTGTTTACATTGAAGGATAGCTACCTTACAAACTGCAAAAGAGATATTTTTCGAAAACCCATATGACCTGCTCTTTAAATCCCGAAGTCATGTGGCCTGTTGTAGCTTTTGAAATGCTCTATCCAAAACATTTTGACCTCATGCCAGTCCCAAAGAAAAAGGAGCATCTCATCCTTGAGAAACAATTTTAGGCCTTTTGTTAAAGGTGTCCATAAGAACATTTTATTAATGTCATATCCTAGAGTCCACCTAGCAGTAATGCTGACTCATTGGGGAGGTGTGCCTTCCCGAGTGTCTATGATGTACTTCCTCAGAGCAAAGCATTCTTGCTTCCCAAGGTTGCTTTTCCTGGTTGACCTTTGGCTCTGCTTCCATGATGGGGTTTATCACACCATTCCAGGAACCAAACGGTGAGGCCTCCACCTACATAGGCAAGTATAAATCTGTTGCATGCATGTTGTAAGCCAGACTGGGTGTTGCAACACAATAGGGCGGTTTCCTGCAATACGAAAAAGATGAATGGGAGTGGTACATGACTAAAATCACAGTTTGGGAACTTGGTGTGAAAACTGGAGTGAGATAATATCAACCTGCAGGGTCATAAATGGTGCACTTACAGTAGTACCAGACTTCCATAAACTTCAACATTGTGCAGTTTCCTCCAGGGCACGTCAGATTTCCTTCCTTTGTTCAAGCTTTGGTAAAAATATGTGGTGAAGGCAGCTTCCAGGGTCAAAATTATGACAACACAGGATGTGAGAAAACATCAATTTCATTGGCACATGTTATGCTCTTCTCACACTACAGCTGGTCTCCAAAGATCTTGGCAATTTCCAGGAGGGTGTGCTTCTTGACAGGAGTTTGAGGAACATACAAGCTAATTACAGTCTCTACAATTGTGACTGTCAGACCTTGAATTCATCAAAAACTTGGCAAAGGAACAATATATAGGTCAGCTGAATGCATTTTGAACAGACTGTTCATTGTAAGTGATTGAGAAATCATTCACTATCATTGCAATATAGAATCATACAACAGCTGCAGCATTCATATGTGACCTAGTTCTCCTGGGTAGGAGTCAGCGTTTCCCACTCAGTTTACCACACAAACAGTCTGTGAACGTCTTATTGAAATTGTCTGTTTGAAAGTTTTTGTCTGTGAACATCACCAACAAGGTTTTTCTTTTTTGGAATTTGGCATCATCTTAATTTGATTTGACTCATTATGCATGCCCAAAAACCATAATTTCATACTAACCTACCGGAGAGGGAAAATATCTGCTCTGCTGCCCTGGTGGTCTTGTATGTCTCATTTCTGCCAAAGAAGAAAAACAAGCATGCTTTGGTAAATCAGGATTATGATATAAAAAGTCACAATTATTACTTTTTTCAAAATTATGACATACTAACTCATAATTATGAAAGAAGTCCAAATTGACAAGTTGTAATAAGGGGCAATTATCTACATTTTGATCTCTTAATTTCGACTTGTGTCATAATTTTGGCTTTTGCATCTCATGTTTGCACAATGTTGATTTTTTTTATGTCACAATTAGGGCTGAACGATAAATCGCATGCGATATTTAACACGCATCTTATCAGTAAAGCCGGTTCTGTAATCAGCGGTAAATCTCCATCACCTGCGGGCTTTCACATGGAGCAGCATTAACTACACAGAGCCGTTGTTCACTGATGAGCTGCGCAAAACCACGTTCATATTCGCGCGATTTTTTGTGCAGCTCTTCAGTGAACAACGGCTCTGTGTAGTTAATGCTGCTCCATGTGAAAGCCTGCAGGTGATGGAGATTTACCGCTGATTAAAAAACCGGCTTTCTGACAAAATGCGCATTAAATATCGCATGCGATTTATCGTGCAGCCCTAGTCACAATTGTGTCTTGTATCTCATAATAATAGCTTAGTATCTCATAATTTTGACTTTTTATCTCATAATTATGTTTTTTTTTTATGTGGGGAAAATGAACTTCCTTTGGCCTTGCTTGAGGTATAGTTATTTCAAATCCATTGTAATCCTTATTCTTGTTGTTAACTCAAACAGAAAGCTAACTGCAACTTATAACACTTATAAGTATAACACATAAAGGCTACACATTGATTTTAGCTAGGCTACCAAGGGTCTGCAGAAGATATCACTCTGCTGCAGGGATATGATGAGGTCTGTTTGATGACCACACCCCGATGGCCTGACAGCTAGCATTAGCGTTGGCTAAAGCGCTGAGTTCTGGCTGTCCTCCAGTAAGCAGTGCATCTCAAAATGTCATTAATCACAATTCAAATAAAGCGTTCTGCTGCCTCAGCACTTCTTTGCAGTCTCCATTTCAGATTTGCTTCTTTCTCCCTGGGCGAACATCTGCAACAAATGAAAGCCTTTTATCGTATGAATGTTGAAAAGGAATATGGTGGTAAATTAGAAAAAAATGATCCGCCTACATGGTGTGTCTGTTGGATTGAATATCACTGCTTCAACCGTACACCGTGCTGGACTCGGGACAAAGCTCTCAGAGTGAGCAGCGTCCTAATGAAAAAAGTCATTCAAAACTATTGATTTACACCAGTAAGTGTGTGCTGATGTTTTCAGACCTGACAGTGTATGGAAAACCAGCAGTCAACCTGTATAAACTGCTGCTTGAAGAAAGAGTACAATATTCTGTCATCATTTACTAGCCCTCATGTTGTTTTAAAATTTACATTTGACTTACTTGCTTTCGTGCAACATGTTCACGCTGCTCTTTGCAACACTATGAAAGCATACACTGACCTTAAATTTATAAGAAATTCTACTGTTGTGTTCCACAGATGAAAGAAAGTCAGTTTAGAGTGACGAAGGGTGAGTAGATGTCAGAATTTTCTTTTCTTTCTTCAGGCAAACTTTCCCTTCATTTCAAAGCAGTGTCCATTTACACAAATATTTAACCTATTGACAGAATAACTTTCAATAACTCACAATTGTGGCCCACAATTGCTCAGAGGTTTTATAGTTTTAACCATTCCATTTCACATTTAGTGCAAAACAATGACATTTTTATAATTATTATTTAAACTAGGCATGTCAGCATGTGCCATACCAAGTTTGACACCAGTGACTCCAAACGCAAGGCCAGTTCTAGTCATTTGGAGTCCCTGGGCAAAGTTCATGTTGGAGGCCCCCCTGCCCCAATAAAAAGCACTTGAAACAAATATGATTCCTAACCTTTCTATTTATACAACATTTCATTTTAAATTTTATATATTTTTACTTCTACAGTACCGGTCAAAAGTTTGGACACATTACTATTGTTTATGTTTTTGAAATAAGTCTCTTATGCTCATCAAGCCTGCATTTATTTAGTCAAAAATACAGAAAAAAAACAGTAATATTGTGAAATAATATTACAATTTAAGATAATTAGGGATGTCCCGAGCCAATTTCAAGGATCTGACTATGTATATACATCAAGAGAGTGCATCTTGTAATATATATACATAAACATATGAAGAGTTAATTTGCAAAAACCAGTAACTCCATTTTAATTAATTAATTTTTTCTTCAGAAATCACGTTTTTTTTTATTGCGCATTCCAAGTAATGTCAATCAAACTGCAGTTGGGTTGTTTTGATTAAGTAATAATAACTTACACAAAGACAGGTAATTTACAAAGTTAAAGTTCATTGAATGTATGTTTTTTTTTACATATTAAAAGTTTGTTTTTTGGCAAAAGCAGATAACTCCACATTTCATGTTTAAGAGTTTAAAAAAAACACTCGTTTAATCTTTGTAATCTCCTCAGTTGGCAATGTAGATGTGTTCGTCGAAATGATCCATCCTCAATCACTTTTAGGATGTGATTACACGCAATACACAGAGCTTTTCCCACACCATTGTAACGTGCTGCTTTTGCAAGGTTCCGTGAAAACGTTTCAGCTTTTATTTTCCTTTTTCGCCAGGAAAAAGATATCACAGGTTCATCAAGTTCGTCAAAATTATCCATCCTCGATCACTTTTAGTCAGCTTTGACGAAACTCCTCTCAGCTAGCACGCCTTTTCAAAGTGAAAGTAGCCTTGTCACCTGACCTGAATACAACGCGCTGATTCGCTTAAATGGACTTATCGGCTTCTGTTCAAAAACAACAAGGGCGCTTGTCGGCTTCTGCAGTAAAACGTGAACTCGCGATGCCTTGAAAGTGGACAAAACCGGCTTTTTTGACAAAACATGTTTAGGGTTTGCGCTATATGTGGAGAATAATGAACAGCAATCAGTCACTCTCGAGGGAGCTGACTGCCCGCATTGCGAGCGTTTGTCACTGCGAATGCTTTGCTCTCTGAGGGCTCTCTTTGAGGAGGGAGTCTTCACCGACGTTTCTCACGGCGCCGGCCCCGCTTTCGCCGAGGCAGAGCGGCGGCTGTGCTCGTGGGGTTCGCCTATGGATCCGGTGGAGGGAATGTAGAC